CTGTTTGCTGTAGTAGTATAGTTCGTTTTGTTTTTAGACATGTAAAATTAGGAACACTTTTTAGCATTGTTCGATGTTGTTTGCAAATGTTTTGTCCAATACTGTATATATATATACATAAAACAGGCTTGGTCGGGAAGGCGACCAAGCCTGTTTTATGTATATATATATTTTTTCAACAATAGGACAAAGTCTATTAAATAAAATTCCTTATGTAGACAATAACTCCGTTGATGAATTTGTTTTATTAGCAATTCAACTCTGAACTTTTCAAATCTAACATTTAGTGAATTTAAAATAGCATATAAAGCAATAAAAAGAAATAAAGCAACTGGGCCTGATGATATAAATGGGAACATTATAATCGACTCTTTTGATGCGATTAAAGATACCCTTTTTAAAATTTTTAAAGCATCTATTACTCAAGGATCTTTTCTAGATAGCTTAAAAATAGCAAAAATAACTCCAATTTTTAAAACAGGCGACCCTACAAACGTAACAAATTAACAGATTCTACACTTATCTTATTGACAATAAACTTCTTTATAAAAATCAGTTTGGTTTTCAAAGAAAAAGTTCTTCTGAACACGCTATTCTCCAAGTAACGCGCAGTATTGCCGACTCTTTTAAGAACTCTCAATTTACTCTTGGCGTATTTATTGATTTTTTAAAAGCTTTTGACACTGTTAATCACCATATTTTATTGAAAATGCTAGAAAGCTCTGGTATAAGAGATGTAACCCTAAACTGGTTTAAAAGTTATCTTAGTAACCGTAAACAATTTGTTTGTAACAAAGAATCTTCGCCTCAATTTTTAACGAATATAACATGCGGTGTTCCCCTAGGATCCATACTTAGGCCACTCTTATTTTTAATATACATAAATGATCTTTACAAAGCTTCTAATTTAGCGACTATAATTTTTGCCGACGATACGAGTTTATTTTAGTCCAACGAAAACATTAAAATACTCTTTAACAATATGACTGAGGAACTTAAAAATATTTCATATTGGTTCAAAAAAAATAGGTTGTCTTTAAGTAACGATAAAACAAAACGGATACTTTTTCATCCAACTTCTAAAAAAAAGAAAATTCAATATATCTTGCCTGACTTATATATTGACAGTACAGTAATAAAAAGAGAAAAAAATACAAAATTCTTAGGAGTTATAATAGATGAAAACTTATCTTGGAGGCAACAAATTGATAATATTGCAATGAAAATTGCTAAAAGTATTGGAGTTCAATATAAAGTTAGACATATATTAAATAAACATCAATTAACACAACTATATTATTCATTTATTCATTGCCATTTAAATTATGCAAATATAATATGGGGAAGCGCTAACAAAACCAAACTTAAATCTCTCTATCGACATCAGAAACACGCAGCTCGCACAATTAGTTTTGCAAATCGTTTTTCAAGCTCAACACCACTTCTTAAAGAAATGAAAGTTTTGAATATTTACGAACTTAATGCTTTGAATATTTTATGTTTTATGTTTAAATGTAAAGAAAATATATCACCTAATGTATTTATAAATCTTTATAATTTGAAACCTAAAAACAAATATAATCTTCGTGCCTGTAAAAGTATCGAAAAGCCATTTTGCCAAACTAAATTTGACCAGTTTTGTATTTCTTATCGTGGTCCTTCTTTTTGGAATAAAATAATTTTACCTAATTTCGATTTTTCTTTTAAATGGTCTTATTCTTCTTTTAAACGGAAAGTAAAAGAAATTATCTTTTCAACACAAAATGTTTATATCTATTTTTAGTATTTAAGTTGTTGTTTTTTTTATTTATTTTGATTTATACTTTATTTTGTTTATTATAAAGACTGTGAAGAATATTAGAATATTGTATTCTTTTTGTTATATAGGTTGTACACCTTTTCAAGATGTAATTGAGAAAACAAAAATTGTAATTAAGAATCGTAAGATGTAATTGAGAAAACGTAAGTTGCAATTAAGAAACATAAGATGTAATTTAGAAAACGAAAATTGTAATTAAGAATCGTAACATGTAATTGAGAAAATGTAAGTTGTAATTAAGAAATAGAAAGATGTAATTGAAAACACGAAAATTTTAATTTAGATATCGCTTTAAAGGAGTAGGTGTAAAATGGCGCTTAAAAAAAAATGGCGCGTAAAAAAATGGAGCGTATAAAATGACGCACTTAAAAATGACGCAAGATTTGTAGCGTAAATTTAGTTTTTTAGGGAAAAATTTAGGGAAAAATTTATAATTTTTGGGCAAATGAATTTAACATAATAAACACTAAAAACATTTTAGGGAAAAATTTATAATTCAATTAAAAATTATATAATTAAAAATCACTTCATTGATCATTTAAGCACCAACTTGTACGTCTTCCATATTTAAAATAGTTGCATAGTGCGTGGTTGTGTGTTGTACCGCACGTGCACAATCTCCTCCCATTATAGTATTTTTCGCCTCAATTACAATTCGTTCTAAGTACTGCATGCGCTGTTCCGCAATCCCGTCACCTAATACAGGTGGAATGCGAATTGCATTTTTAACGTTACTTTTAATTTTGGACCAGATCGTTTCTACCGGGTTCAACATTGGACTGTAAGGTCCCAAACGTAACAACTGAGCTGGTGAATTATCAAACACCCTTTGCAAACGAGCGTGACAAGGAACATTATCTGTTACGACGACCAAATCCTCCAAACGATTCCCGGATGTAACCCACTGGTGAAACATAGCCAACATCCACTCGTTACAGGAATCTGCTTTAAATGATCCCCTGCGAGTTTCTATCATGACGACATTTGTAGTTGAAATAGCTGCGATCAAGTGTATGTTTAAACCTTTTGAAGCAGGTACTTTCATAATTGCTCTTTTTCCTTGTCTCGCGCGTCCTTGCGTTTTTCTACAAAAAAGGTTAAAATTTGTTTCATCCAACCAAACTATCTGACGACCATTTGTGATATGTTCGTTGATGTTTCTAACATATTCAGCTCTTTTTTGTTTGTTTTCATAACTGTTCATTGTAGAAGGCTCCTTGTGCATTTTTTTAATGAGAACAATCTGCCTTCGAGGTAATTTGCTGTTGTTGTTGTGCTAACGTTTATGTTAAATTGTCTTAGTATCTTTGTTTTGATAGCCACCAATGTTAATTGACAATCATTTTCAATCCATGTTAATGTTTCTTCGATTTGATCTTCGGTCAACTTTTTCGGTTTAAAACCTCCTTTTCCGATGAAATTTGAATTTCCGCTGCGAACCCAATTGTATGCTGTCTTATATTTGATACCTAGCGTTTGCGCGAGATTCACCCAATCTTCAAATCGCTCCGCACATTCAACAACTCTTCTCCTGTCATTTGGAGAAGATAAAACGTAACGTTTCCTTTCAACTTGTTCAGTTGTGTGTATTTTATGCCGACAAATCGGACAACTTGAATCTGGTTGTTCCAGAACTGGACGTAAACAAATTTGGTGACATAAATGTTGACACGGATTTAGCTTAATCACAGACTTTCGGTTCATAGTGTATTGGCATATAACACAACGATCTTTCAATTCCATTATTATTACTTGTGCATACAAAAGCAAAATTTAAGATTATAACTTAAATTCATGTCCAAAAAGACCTTTTGTAACAACCTACAAACTTAGACTGTGAATTTGCTATTTTAATTTATGTGTTCTCAATTACAAGTTACGATTTCTCAATTACATATTATGATTTCTCAATTATATCTTACGTTTTCTCAATTACATGTTGATTTTCTTAATTACATGTTACGACTTCTTATTTACATGTTGTGTTTCTCAATTACATATAACGTTTTCTCAATTACATGTTGTGTTTCTTAATTACATATTACGACTTCTTAATTACAACTTTCATTTTCTCATTTACATCTTGAAAAGGTGTAGATTGTAAAGGGCTTCATGATAAGATCCTGTGATCTTCTAGAAGTCCTGCCGGTAATATATTTAATGTAAATTTACCTTGTCCATATTCTGGCAAATAAAAAATATATATATATAATTAATAAATAAAATAATAAATAACATTTTTTTATAATTAATCTTATTCATTTATTATTAATTATATAAATTTTGTAAGCAACGACTATAATAAACGGCTGCCTATTAATTAAACTTAAGAATCATTAAGGTTAATACACTCGAAAAGATTTTGTTGAGAAGAAAAAAAGACAAACTTTTGAATGAAAGATAACCGTTTTGAATGAAAGATAACCGTTTGAATTAAATAACTTAGATATTTAATGCTATATTATTTAATCGCTCATATTATTTAAATGTTTTTAAATAAAGTAATAATTCACTGATGAAGTATGTATGCATTTTTTCTTTAATCTTTAAATAAAGAAATTATTAAATAAAATTAAGATACTTGAAATTTAACAATTTTTTTTTTGCAAGAAAGTAATAAAAAAATATATGTAAACATTTTTTATAATAATTTTTTTTTCTTTAGTCTTTAAATAAAAAATTATCAACTAAAGTGAACAAATTAAATTATTAACAAATTAAATTAAATTGTCAATTAAAGGAATAGTTTTTTTTCGTTATTTTTTATTTTTATTTTCATTTTTCCTCATTTGCTTTTGATATTATATTTTTAACAAGAGAAACGATTTAATTATTTTTCTTTTGTTTACATTACGAGGAATTGTTTTTTTTTTTTTTTTTTTGAGTTATCTTTTCAGTATGCGTTTTTATTAAAAAATCGTTGAAAGTTGCTACTTTATTTTACAAGGATTTTAATCTATATGATAAAAAAAAGTTTTTTTGTTCAGTCGTCATTTTCGTAAAAGGCGTCCCCTTTCCTCCCCCCTATTAGGCGTTATTAAAAAAAGTTTCCTCATTAAGTTTAATCGTTTGTTTGTTTATAAAATACCACTTATGTGCGATGTTTTTTATAAAAACAAAAGTGTTTGTTTACATTTTTTTGTTGAATAGTACTATTTATATTTTATTTTTTTACAAATAATATAATTTTATACGGTAATAAAGCAGACGGGACAATAGTTTTATATTTTAAAAAACGGTAAAGATTCAAAGTTATTTATTTCAAACGTAAATGCATAGGTAATTTGATTAATCTTATTGTTTATTATATATTTTAGTTAAGTTTTGTTTTTGTTGTTTTGATTTTAGTTATCTATTACTAAGCTATTTTTATTTTTTTTTCAATATATTTATATATTAATATTTAATTATGTAAAATAATATAATTAAGAATATAAAAAGAGTGTAACGTTTTTTAGACTTGTAGACTTCATATATGAAGTATATATAACTGAGTACAAAATGGTCAAATGTTTATGTTTCAAATCTCCATATCATTTATATAACCTATTTCACTATTTTAAATAATATACAATTTTACATTGTTATGTTAAGATTAAAACAATAATTGACTCAATTATATCAACAAAATTTTTAAATATTCTATAAATTTCGAATTGACACATACAGCCTATTGTATCTATTTGTATATAAAGCTTATCGCTTGATACAGTTCTTTGTATAAATCTTTACCAAATCTTAGTATCATTTCATTTCTTTAATATTTGATTATGTAAAATAATATAATTAAGAATATAATAAGAGTGTAACGTTTTTTAGACTTGTAAACTTCATATATGAAGTATATATATAACAAAGTACAAAATATTTTGGAAATATTAAATAGAAACTCACAACAGCCTGGGCATGCAGCAAATTTAAACTAAAAAATGCACTCCTTCAATAGTTGTTTATATATTACTTACTATTTATAACCAGGGTGGATAAAAATTACAATTTAAAAAAAAGTATCAAAAAAATCCCTCTTTAGTCCCTCTTTTGTTTTATATGTAGCAGCAGCAAAATTGTTGTTTTTAAAATATTTAACAACTTGAACTACCTGCTCCTAGATGTTTGTAATTGCCAAATCTTGGGCCAATAGATTGAGAATGAATATCCATATGTAATAACATTAACATCATTTCAAGTTATCAGTTTTTATCTCATTTTTGACATTGTCTCATTTGCTGTGTTACTAGTTACTACACTGCGAACTTTACAATCAAATTATTTTTTTCATTTGTCGATAGAATTAACAGCAAACTTAACCAAATAGTCAAAAGTATGTGAATAGCCCGTGGTATCAATTGTATTTTCAAGTTAGATATCTGAATTCGTTATTGTATTTGTTGCACAAGTTAATGGTTCATTATGAACATTGCTCCACCCATCAATACTCATGGCTCCAGACTGATCATGTAGCAAACCTAAACAGCTAGTTAAACTGTTTATGTGAACAGTATCTAGTAGTTTTCCACCAATATTAGTTCTATTAGAATGGTTAACCCTGCGCGTAAAAAATTGATCATTTTGATCAACTCTTGGTCTACTATTCTGAAAAGGCGAGTTCGTACCATAAATCATTCTTGCTATCTGCTCATCAACTGCTTCTTTTTCAGATTTTGGCAAGGTATGAAAGTTTTAATAAGGTATAAATCCAATATAGTAACCACTGTCTTGCCACTGCCTTTTTGTTTGAACACAAAAACTTGTTCATCTCCAGTAGATTGACTAGATTCAGTTTTATTAACAAAATATTGACTAGTTTGTGGTTCTTCAGTTGCCTGGTTGATATTTGTCTTGACAAATAATACTGTTTTCATCATCTTAAACATCTTTAGGAAAATTACATTTACCAGTACTTTTATATTTTCTTATTTGAGCAACCAAACCTTGCAATTGTACACCACAGCTTTTACATTTTATTACCCTTTTTACCAAACTTCGCAGGCATTTCTTCAAACCATTTTCAAAACTGTTTCTCTTTTTCTACCAGCACCAGACATTTTTATTTCTAGTTATATTATTTTTATTATCTACAAAATAACAACATTTATAAATGAATACTGTAATTTATAAAAATTTGAAAGTACTCATATAAAAGAAATATATTTATATTTATTATATAAATAGTAACAAGAGCAGAAATTAATGTAATTAATCAATAAGTTAAAACAAGAAGAAAAAAAAATTACTTATATGAATAAAAGTCTTAATAAATTAAAAAAACTTAATGATTTATATGACTACTATATATTATAAAATGCATTATCTGACTATTATAACTAAAACTATTTTATGCAGTGGTTAAATTTAGCTAGTGTAATTTACTTTAAGTTAATTAATCAACAAGTAATTAATAAAAACAACTAAAATCAAAAAAGTTAATTTAAATCATGATTTTTATTTGTCTAATGAAAGTCATGATTTAAATCGATTTATATCAAATGATTTTAATCAATTGATTTAAATCAAAACGACCCTGATAATAAAAAATTTTCAACTTGCTATATATACTATTTAAAATAACTTTTTTATTAAACAAATAATAATAAACATTTACAAAATATTACTTGGAATTGACTCTCTTAAGATTATATTACAGTTTCCCCTTTACTGTACTTTTGTTAAATAACAAAATATTCACGTAGAAAAAGTTATTTTAAATACAAGTTTCTTAGAGTAATATAGGTATAACCATCTTGTAGTATATATGTATTAAGCAGTTGATAGTCACAAACTTCATTTGATAAAATATTGAAAAATTTAGGAAAACATATTCCCCTTGAACTCTCACTAACACTTTCTCATCAAAATCACTCCATAACTCAAGCCCCAGATAACTCGAACATTCGTCTGATAAGTCAAACTATTTTATTTGTCCCAGTGGCTGATATTTTACCTTTAACTTGATTTTCAAAAGAAAAATAGCACAGCATCTGATTAAAGTGATTAGTTCTCTTTCATGAAATCAAATTTGTTTGATTTTCTTCATATCACTCAAAAGAGATACTTTGACATATAGAATTCGCTAATTCGAACTAATTTCTTGGCCTCCTGGAGGTATGAGTTATTTGGAGTTTGCTGTATATATCACTATATGTTATTGCCAAACTTATAAGTTTTATTAGTGTTCCTTGGAGCGTATGTGATACAAAACCCTTGGCAGCCATTGCAACCGTGGTATTGGCGAGAAAGAGTCTCACCTTTGCTTTATAAGAAAACGTGAGCAAACGTGAAATTTATATCGTACATACGTAAACTTCATGTTATGTATATTAAAACGTAATTAAACATATATCGAGTTTTACAGTTTGACTTTCACTTAAAAACTGCATTGCGTCAACCTCTTCTTAATTTCTGATCTTTAGCACCTATATCCGTTAAAAACAACTTTTATATAGTTTTAAAATTTCGATGAACAACGTACCAGCACGGCCGAGTGGTTGCGCGCTGAGCTTCTGAATAAGAAAGCCGTGGTTCGAGTCCAAGGCCCGTCTACTCTTTTCTAAAATCTTTTAGAACCTTTAAAAACTGTTTGTGAAATTAAACAAGTTAAATGTAACAAGTTATGCAATTTAAAACATACTTAAAATATATTAAATTTTACAGTTTGATATTCACCTCAAAACTGCATTGCGTAAACCTCTTCTTAATTTTTGATCTACAGTATCTATTTCCGTTAAAAACAAATTTTATATAGTTTTAAAATTTTAACGACCAAGGTGCCAGCATGGCCGAGTTTTTTTTTTACATTTTCAAAAAATTTTTAAATACTTGTGAAGTTATATAAAGATTGTATACCAATATATCTAACGATGTTATACACTTTAACAAACGAAGAAATTTTTAATAAGCTATAAATTCTAAAAACATTAAAAGCGGGGGGATATTGTTGCGTATGTGTCATGGTTGAGATACTTATTTTGTTTTATTTTTACATTTCAAGATTTTTACAACTAGGTTGAGTTTGTGCAAGAAAAATAAGTATACAACATTTTTATATACAGAATATAAAACCTATAGAACTATAAAGTTGTTTTGTTTTGCATTTTAAGTATCAAAAAATTAAAAATAAAACAAGCTGATGATTTGAACTTGCCACCCGGTGACCTTAACTTTTTTTTAACAGTACGGAGGTTTAAAAAGTATGTTTTTTATAAAAACATAAATAAAAATTCTAATTTTAAATTAAAACTGAGCCATTTTATTAAACTATTTATTTTTTAAAAATAATTAATAGTTAAAAATATTTAATATTAGTACAATAAGGAAATTTAGAGTAATACAGCTATTAGGCGAGTAATACAGTATTGGGCAATTCCTTAGTGTTTTATAGTCTATAGTTTATAATGCTCTAAGATCTTCTTACTTCTGCTATACTGTTATAAAATAATATTGCTAATATAAAATAATAATAAACTGCAATACTGTTATAAAATTTTTGCCATAAATATTGTTATAAATGCAGCAAAAATGAAAATATTTTAAAACGTATTTAAGTTTAATATGCTTAACTAGTTTTATTACACATGCACGTTGATTACACATGCACATTTTATACACATAACACGTTGCAAGATTAACTTGCTTTACTCTTTGTTTTAATTTTATTCTAGCTTATTTAATTAGTTTTTCTAATTAGCAGATTTTACGAGCGTCAGATTTTTTAAATTTTGAATGGGAATATTAATCCCATACATTCGCAATCACCAAAAATCTTTGACAATGTCTGCTATAAGTAGTTCAAGCTTAAAAAACAATAATTCACAGAAAGTTTGAAAGTTAAAAAGTTGCAACTTTTTTTTTGCTTTTTTTCATGGTGGTTCTTTAAATGATGATGTAGGTCTGCCGATTTGTTCATTTTTACTATCCTTCATTAATGTGATATTAAAATTATTTTCAAGCCAAGCTGAATTTCTGTAAATAAACTTTGCACCTCGAATCCATTTTTTACCATAAACAAAAATAAATAAACGAAATTTACTCTCATACATTTGGCCTTAAAACTCCAAATCTTTTTTTTAAATAAAGTCGTATACAAGTATACTGTCTTCTTTTTTATGTATTGAAAAATTGTTGAATCGAATAATTTGTGAAATTTGTTTCTTTTGATACTCATTAAGCATTAAGTAAAACAGCATTTCAACATCTAAAATAAATAACCACAACCAAACCTATTAAAATAGATTATTAAATCCACTTGGTTTGAAAATTAGTTGGCTAGGTTTTTACTCTATGAGCTATGTAGCCATAACAGCACATTTTTTTGAAAATGTTAAAGTGTAATCTCAAAGAGTATGAGTTTGGATAACTTATAAAATTTCCATTAATTTACAAAAAAAAGTTCTTTGGGCCATCCTGGGCCTAAAACAGATTTTGTTTTGGGGGATTTAAGAACTCCTTTTTGCGTAATAAATTTTGAAATTTTTTTATGTTGCTTATATATTTATAGCAAAAATATAATAATGTGGCAAAAAAGATTTCTAAAAGTTAAAATAAAATTATAAAGTTTTCTCATTTTATAGATATATTATAGATATATTATTACAACAACAAAACCTCTCACTCAAAGGACTTGTAAAGACACTGGAGTCAAGAGACAAGTTCTTGTTGGGGTATCAGCAGATTTGCCAGAAACTCACTCCAATATTGAACAAATCTGGTCACTGATTAAATTATATGGAGTTAAACTAATTTTGGCTTGTGATATGAAAGTTGCAAATATAATTTGTGGTCTTCAAACCCATTTAAGTACGTACCCTTGCACATGGTGTGATATCAAATCCGAGTGTCTTGCCAAATCTTGAAACTTACAAACACTGTGCTCAATCAATTCAAGCCTCGATTCTTTTCAGCAATCTGATGGGGTTTTTGCTAATGGAAAGTTGTTTGGCAATGTCATTTGAAAGCCAATCATCCGTCAATGTTCTGATTTTGACAATCATCTCACCGCCGGAATTGCATTTTCTCTAAGAAGTTTTAAACCATCTTTTCAAGATCCTTAAAACAACTTGGATAGAAGTTGTTAAGTGGGCCAGCCGCTCTCCGCATTTAACTGAACTCATATCATGGGGGCCAGTTTGAGGGAAATGAATGCAGGTAGCTTTTTAAATGTGGATTTCCTGCATCAACTTGCTGATACAAATATGGTTCCCAACATTTTTTGCATAATTGAAACATTTAAAAACTTCAATTTAGTTGTCAAAGCTTGCTTTGGATATATCTTTCAGCCGGATTTTGCTGAAAAGATTTAAAATTTCAAAAGGCGTTACTTAATGATAACTGGTACAAGCGTAGCACCTAATATTCACACCGTCTTCTACCATATCAAGGATTTTATCAGTCACAAAGGATCCCACTTGGGGTCTTATAATAAACAAACTGTCGAAATTTCTCATCAAGGTTTTTATCAAAATTAATCGAGGTAAAAGCAAAACAATAATCATCTATAGTACAAAGAAAGATTGTTTCGCTGCATAATTGATCTAAACAGTAAGCATTTTTAAAAAACTGCTAAAATAATTTAAACTATTAGAAATTAGACAGCTGAAATTCATAGCATACGGCTTATAATAAATATTTTCACCATCCTTTAAAATAGTATTATAGAGTATTTGTATTAAAAGAGTACATTGATCTATTTATTAATAAATATTTTGTGAAGAAAATCAAAAAACAAGTCTTAAAGTGTAGTTAGATACTATTTAATGGTAATACAATGTAAAAAAAATAAGATTTAAATAGTTATTTTTTTACTTAACTTTGAAATGTATTTAAGAAAGTTTTAAAAGTCAATACAAAAAATTTTCTGAGATCTGCTTTTTTGTTTGTTTTACCAACTGATAGTCATTGGAGCAGGTTTTTCACTTTTTTTAAGCAATTTTTTGCATTTTTGATATAGTTTATACCTTAGGAGATATTGTGATATGCACGCTTGCATAAGCCAATTCAAACCACGCTTTAAGTAACAAATCAATATTTTGGTCTATAAAATGAAAATGATACATGTACCAATAAAATAATAAAAATTGTTGGTATAATAGTAGAACATTCATGTAACCATTATTTCAAAAATAGTGACTGAATATCAAAGTAATCAGTAACGCTTTGAGATATAAATAGCAAAAAACTGACAAAATTTAAATTAAAACTACCATAAATCTTAAACCAGGTAACTAATCAGACTGAAACTTTGTCAAGGGTTTGGTGTGGCTATAGGCTGCATTTACACTAATTTTTAGCAAATTATATTGAGTTGCTCATAATCTACAAGTGTTTTATTAGCGCACTATGAAGTCAAAATTTCACTTAATTGGAACATTCAAATTTAATTTTTTTCCATGAACAAAATTAAAAGATTTTAAAATTACCATTACAGGTTACCTTGATGTTTAGGCTATCTTTCCGTATAAGTTGCGTTCTTGGGTCAGCTAGGTAAGCATTATCAGGATCCGTGCTAACCGTGTAAGTGCAATAGCTCGCAAAGACGCTCTAGGTCTGTGTTTTTTTTTTTTTTTTTAAATCGCAAACCTACTTTTAATTCATTTAAAAGATGGCTTGTGATTTTAAAAAATCTTCTTAAAATCACGATCGCTTGTTCAAATTTGAATAAGATTTTAAATAAATACGCTTTTTAGTTGAAATGAACATCGTAGTATAATAATATGATCTGTTCTGATATTTTACTAGAAATTTTTCTTAATTATAAGCGCTTTCTTAGTCAGAATTCTAATATTTTTTGTAAAAACTGATAGAATTGTTGTTTTTTGACAAGTATATTAAAATATATGTGCTAGAACCGATTAGAGCTAGGATATATAGTAGATTGAAGCACTTTTTCAAATGATGAAAAAAATGTTGTTCTTTAGATTAACAATTAGAGGTAATAAAAAAGTTTTAAAAAATATATAAAAAAAGAGAATATTTTCTTTAATTATAATAAAAACTTGATGAAATAAAATTTATAACATCTATAGTTATTGTTTGAACAGAATACGCTGACAAAATCATGCTAATTTCAAATAAAAGAATTCAAATAACTTATAAATCGTTTCATCTACACCGAGGATGCGATTGTTTTAGTCCGACTTTACCAATAGAAGATTTTTATCATATTTTTTTACATAATATTAATAACACACTTAATCTTAATATAGTAATTTTTACGTGATTATTAGCAACGTGACTTACTTTACATTTATTGAAGTATCAAGTTTCGTATTATTAGTTTTTCACTCTCTATGATAAAAATGTTCATCATTGTTTGTTAAAAAATCGAACACTTTGTAATTTCGGCAAATAAAAATATCTAAAAAAACAAAGGATCGTTTTTCAAATATTCAATACTTCATTTTTTTAAGTTGATAACGTATACTTTAATTAAGCTCAAATGTTGAAAAATTGTATGTATGTGTGTGTGTATATATATATATATATATATATATATATATATATATATATATATATATATATATATATATATATATATATATATATATATATATATATATATATATATATATATATATATATATATAGATAGATAGATAGATAGATAGATAGATAGATAAAAAGTATTTTTTTACACATAACTGTTTGTGAAGATTAAAAACGGATGATCTTTCACTTTGCGTGATTTAACGCTATGTAATTTTCAGATTTGATATAGTTTATTTTATTTTACATTATTATTATTATTATTTTTAAATTAGTTTTATAATATTTATTAATACTTAATTTTAATTTTTAGATTAACTGCTGTTTAAAAGTAAATGGAACCAAATCAAGGTGATTGCAATAGAATTAGTTCTTTTGAAGGTAATATTTTATATACACGCCCGCTTTTTAATTCTATTTTTTAATGATATTTACATTTAGTAATAGTAGTAGTAGTAATAGTAGTAGTAGTAGTAGTAGTAGTAGATTAGTAGTTAGATTTTAAAAGTTCTAAAAGGCACGCTCTAGTCTACCTACTAAGTTTTAGGGATCAAATTTTTTTTCTACACGGAACATATTAACTTGTAACATTAATAAATTTAATCGATTCTTTTCCATTTGCTTTCTCAAAAACGCAATTTACAAATATTTCTTTTGATGAAGTTAAAATAAAAAGATTTAAACGAAGACGTCAAAATAACATCAACTTAAAATCCGAATCCGATCAAAATAGGATATCAGATGGTGAACAGAAGAAAGTATGGCTCAAAATAACGTTTTGAGTTCAGACACAACGCAGACCTGATATCATTTTTTGGGAGAAATGTAAGAGAGTGCTGCTACATTGACTGATTTATACCTGCCCCAACACAAACCCTCATTCAATGTAACAGCATCTCCTTGCACGTTCTACTTAATTCAGTCAATGTAGAAACGCACTTTTACATGTCATCATTATATGAGTATAATGTCTAATCTGCGTGTTTTAAAACCTCAAAACTTCATTTTGAGCCATACTATTTTCTGCTTACATAATAACTTCTCATACAAACACTAGTCGACTATCTTACAGCCAACTTATGAGTCTTATAGGATCGTATATAATCTTATACTATCCTACAGGATATCTTACAAGATTTGTAAGATTTTATTTGTCTTTCAAATCCTATAGGACCATAAGAAATCCTGTGATTACCCATAGGGTATCTTAAAGGATTCGTAAGATTTTATTTGTCTTGCAAATCCTATAAGATTATAAGAAATCCTGTGATTATCCTGTAGGGTATCATAAAGGATTCGTAAGATTTTTAATTTTTTAAATTTATTTTGAAAAATGAAAAACTTAGCGGTGGTGGGTTTTGAAACCCGGATCACTAGACCATTAGTGCCTTACCACCTGCGCTACACAACATTATAAGTATGGAAATAAATAAAAAAAACTATTTTTATTGAATGTATATAAATAAAAGTGTTGTAAAAAAATTAAATAATAACAAATAGCTATATATATATATATATATATATATATATATATATATATATATATATATATATATATATATATATATATATATATATATATATATATATATATATATATATATATATATATATATATATATATATGTATATATATATATATATATATATATATATATATATATATATATACATATATATATATATATATATATATATATATATATATATATATATATATATATATTTATATATATATATATATATATATATATATATATATATATATATATATATATATATATATATATATATATATATACATATATATATATATATATATATATATAAAATGCCGCCAAGAACTGTTTCGCCGCCCGGGACAGCAACATGGTTGGCGTTCTTAATTATCGAAATTCTCCTATATTATCGGTAAAGGACCTTTGTTCCAAGGTACCTTCATTCTATTTGGTGCCCCTTGGAAATCTGCCGCCCGGGACAATCTGTCCCTTACGTTAAAATTAAATTATTACCAAAAAAATCTAGTTGAATTAAAAATATTTCTCGCAATCAGAGTGTACATTGAATTGCGTGACTTTCTGAGTAAATTGAGTCGTAGAGTGACGCGGTTTAAATCATTAGGCATTATGAATTGCGGGAAAATAAATAGCACTCAAGTGCTATTTATTTTCCCGCAATTCATAATGCCTTCCAATAGCGCATTTAAGTCATGTCACTAGCGCATTTAAATCACGTCACAAATCACAAAAATTAAGATATTAGTTACAAAATTAAGATATTAGATTCTCAAACAGCATGTTCATTATAATGAACATGCTGTTTGAGAATCTAATATCTTTTTAATTTTTGTTAAAGAAATATATAAATAGTTGCTATATCATGATTATTTTATATTATGGATTTTATGAAAATTTTATAAACTTGGTAACATAAATATGCATAAATTTTGTTGTATTAATAATTATTATTGTATTTAAACTATACTCTAATTAATTAATAAAAATTAATAATAAAAATTGTTATATATTTATTTTACATATATATATATATATATATATATATATATATATATATATATATATATATATATATATATATATATATATATATATATATATATATATATATATATATATATATATATATATATATATATATATTAAAGTATGAAAGTTTGTTGTATTTTTAACACGATACTATTAAATTTAAAATGTTTTAGAAAAAGCCTGAATACAACTCATGGATTTTTTAATTAGGGCATTTTTATGTAGGTAATGTTATTGGGCAGCAGCTTTAAGGCTTACTTATTTTTTATAAGTTGTTGGCACAGGGTGGGAGGGGGTTATTTAGAAAATCATACTTTCAGTGCTTGGGTTTTTATTAAATTTTCTATTTTTCTTAACCTATTTTGAAAATTTGGGATCAATTAGTTTAACTTGTTGGATCATGATCCAGATACAAAAAAGTAGGATCTTGGACTAACAACTTCTCATACTTCATTTATTGAAATAATTATAAATATGTAAGTATAAAAAAAAGCTTCTTGGAAAATATGAAACTTCAGGATTACAAAGAAAAGCCAGAATTCAAAATTTAAGTTTTTCACCAGTAATTCGTTTAACCAAATCTATCCATGGATTTGACTAATATGCTCAGATTAGGCATTTCAAATGAACTTTTTTTTACTTAAACTCGCCTAAATATTTATAGCAAGTAGGTAAAATTTCAAGTGTTTTTACTTTTTACTTAGTCGTACTCTTTAAATAATTTAAAAATTTTGTCAGGGGGTAATAATCTCCTCCTCCCTTGCGTCTGCGATGGGTTAAGGGGCGGGACGGGTTTTAAATTTTTAATTAATGATTCATTGCCTGATTTCTATGATTTTTTTTTATATATCTTTATTTCATATAATAGAACCACAGTTCCTAATGCAATAATACGAAATCTCAAAGAGCAACTTGCAACAGTTTTCGCCAATTACTCGTGGGCGTGCGTCAGACGAAGTCTTAATCAGAGCGGCCTAGATAGGAAGAAAAAACGAAAGTAATCAGCAATGCAATTATGGTTCTGTAATAATGATAATATGTGAAAAATTTCTTTTATACAGAATGATTTTTTTTTTAATAAGAAAATGTTATTTCAAACTTTAACTTACCTATTATCAGTAATTAAAAAGAAGAATAGACATACTTTGCTTCCAATCAAAATAAAAACCTAACTTCGTATGTTCTTAGTTTGGTTATTAGATTTATGATATTAATTATAAAATAATAAATGTTATGGTTCCTATCATTGGCGTATTAAGACTTTTCAGGGCCCGGAGTCCTTTTTAACGTGCCACAGCATAAAAATGACTAAAACAGTAGAAAAAGAAAAAGGTCCGCCTAATTGTTTCGGAATCCCGAAGTTTTAGGGCCCTAGCCCCCTCTTCTTTAATCTATTACTGGTTCCTATGGGAACCAGTGCTGGATTAAGGGGTAGGGCTACGGCCGTATATATACGAATCTAAAATTTTCCTTCAGCATCCTATAAGAATCCTGTTAATCCCGCAAGATCTTTTAAAATATTCTTGTAGATCTTATATTATCTTATAAGAATTCCTTCAAATCCTACAAGATCCTTCAAAAGATTCTTGTAGGTCCTGCAGGGACTTGTGCATCTCATCCTATAGGATTCTTGTAGGATTTGTAAGATCAGTCGTCTAGTGAAGTGATAAAACTTATGATAAAAATATAAAGCGTGCTTAGAACTAAAGACAATACAGAGAAACAATAATTGACAATTATTATTTCTCTGTAATGTCTTTAGTTCTAGTTAGAAAAAAAAATTGTTGTATATTTTTTGTCAGTTTGCATTACAAATTTACAAATTATATATAAGTTGTGAAAAACAACTTTAAAGCTATCCGAATTAACTGTATGCTGTTTATTATAAAGTTTGGTAATGTATTAATGGTTTAAAAGTTAAACTAAAGTTGTTTTTAAATTCATATTGAAGGATTGATTAAAAAATAAAAAAAAATTATAATGCAATAAAAAATAGAAATCCTGAGTAAACCGCTTCACAGTTAAAACAAATGTTATCCAAATGCTAAAAACTTTATGAAAAATATAAAGTTCATACTTTCATATTGGTTGATGAATAAAAAATAAAAAATTCTATGCAGATACTAGAATTGTAATAGAGTTTAAACATTACACAATTAATAAGTTAGAAATGTTTAGAATTTTTGAGAAAATATTTTATTGTCATCAGTTGCCGCAAGAGGGCTGAGTTTTTACGAAATACCACTGTTTCATGGGTTTCTGGCAAACAAGTTTTGTAGTCCATAATGTACAATTAAAGTTTTATAGAGTGGAATTTTTATAATTTAAACATTTTTAAAAATGTTTAAATTATAGCTTTAATAAAGTTCAACTATCTGATTCATTTGGATCTGTCTCAAACTGTCTTTTTGTGTTGAATAAAGATATTATTTTTTACGATGCAAGTCTTGTACAAAAAAAGCCGTCTCTACTAGCCAAACTGCAAATTTGATCTGAAGCTTCGATTACAAGTTTGATGCATCTTTCTACTCCTTGAGAATGGCATGAAAAATGCTGCACATCTGGGAGATAAACAACTGTTAACCTTTCAATTAGATTTTTATCTGAAATGTAAGTGGTTACTGGAGGTTCACATAGTTTACATTTTTTCAAAATAATTAGGTCTATATAGTCTTTAGCTTCAAAATTGATTTCTTGTGTAGAGAATTTTTGAACTTTGTTTATTTTCATCAATCTTACTTTCATTATTTTTTGTAATGCCAATTTCCTCAATTTAGGGCGATTTCCTCAATGTTTTCTGGATGCGAAAAAAAGCATTCCTTTGTATATCTGGAT